GGTCCTTTGCGGGTGCTGTGCTTCTCCAGCGAATCAACAGCAACAGACCAAACCACCAAACCCTAAACCCTAAACCCTAAACCCTCAAGAATGCGAGAAATGGTTCAACGGGTCTTCCGTCGAAAAGAACGGGCTGCACTTCCTCTTGCTGCTGCTGCTGCTACTGCTGCTGCTGCTGCTGCTACGCATGCAGTGTCTACAGAGCCCAATATGCAGCAAACGAAAGACAAGCACACAGCAGCAGCAGCAGCTGTATATAGGAGAGGTGAATGCAGCAGCAGCAGTACAGCAGCAGCAGCAGCACAGCAGCACGAGAGGCAGAAGAAGCCCCATCAGCAGCAAAAAGAAAGAGAAAGAGGAGCGGCAGCAGGAGAGAGAAGAGACATAAAAAAAAAAAAAAAAAAAAAAAAAAAAAAAAAAAAAAAAAAAAAAAAGCAATGCTGCTACACCGTCTCTAAGTTTCTGTCTCTCTCTCTCTGTCTATATCTGTGCCTCTCTCTGTCTCCTTTTTCCTTCTCTTTTTTTTTCTTCATCTTTTCTCTGTCTCTGTCTCTGTCTATATCTGTCTCCTTTTTCGTGTTTTCTCTCTATGTGTATATATACATCCCCGCTAGGGTTTGTTTGTTTCTGTATAGACAACTGCGGTGTATATACACTTGATTGGGGTGTCTATACACCTGAACTAGGTGCCTATACACCCCGTGGGGTGTATAGGCAGCTCACCGGTTTTCACTTTTTTCAGTAAACTGCTGTGTATTCATCATTTTTCTTCTTTTTGGGAATTTCCATCTCTCTTGTATTTCTGCTTCGCCGCCGCGCTGCTGCTTTCGTTGACTTTGTTTTTTTTCTGTTGCTGCATGAATATCTCTTTGGGGGGCCCCCTCTAGGGGGCCCCCCATGGGGGCCCCAGGCAGACTTAGATAACGGCGACGGGCACGAGCAGCAGCACCAGCAGCAGCAACTGCTGCTGGTGCTGCTGAATCTGTTTCTACTGTTGCTGCTGATTCGCTGCTGTATGGCCTTCGTGCTGCTGCAGATATATCACTCGGCACACTATACAGAGCCGGTAGCAGCTGCTGCTGCAGCTGCTGCTGCAGCTGCTGCTGCAGTCGCCGCACCAGACGCAGAGGGGGGCCCCCCCCTGCTGTCTCAGCAGCAAGCAGTGTGAGCCTTTTTTGTATATTGAAAGGAGCAACAACTGCAACTTTTTTTTTTCTTTGTTCTCCTTGGAGTGTATCGACAGTTGACCGCAGCAGTCTACTCTGCGGCAACTGCTGCAGCTGCTGCAGCTGCTGCAGCTGCTGCAGCTGCTGCAGGTGCTGCAGCTGCGGCTGCGAGGGTGGCAGCGCTTTGGTCTGCCGGGGGCGCAGCCTGGGAACCGCCGCCTGTATTGCTTCGGGTGTACGTACACCTGAGAGTACGTGCCGCAGCAGCGCGGCGGTGAGGAGGATAAGGGTCAGAGCACCCACATGCTTGAGGCCCCCTGCTCTGCGCCTTTTGCGGTGTAGTAGCGGTGTATAGGGTGAGTCTTCATCTGGTTGCTGGGGTGTATCCGCAGGTGCCAGCGAAGCATCTTCTTGTGGTTGGGGTGTATGCGCAGGTGTCAATACACCCGAAACATGAAATGAATAAGCAGGCAGCGAGGATTCAGCTGCAGCCGGCGGCGTCATGGTGAGGTATACTGGGCCTCCATGTGGCCAAAAAAATATAAATAAAAATAAAATTTATAAAATAAATTAAATAAACTAAATTATTATGTTTATTCTCTATTATAAAGCAGATATTCTCCCGGCTCACGCGACGATCTGGCCGGTGGTGCACGCAGATAGGCGGATATATATTGCAGTGTATACACAGCAACTTTTCGGTTGATAAATTTTTTATTTTTCTTAAATATATAAAAATAAATATAATTTAATTAAATATAAACAAATAAAAACAGAAAAAAAATATATCTATGATACGACACGCAGCCGAAAGCTGCAACAATACAGCATGCATCGCCGCAGCACAGCACCGGCTTCCTTCTCTAGGGCCCTATATAACTATAAGCGAAAAAACCAAAAGAAATATAAACCCTAAACCCTAATTTTTATTTTATATAATTGTTATTCATTTATATTTATTTTTACACCCAAAAAACATTGAAAAATTCTCGCGTTTCATACATATATATATATATATACACTGCAGCAGCGGGCGCGGGGTGTCACCGCAGCTCACACAGCAACAGTCTATAAGAGCTGCCCCCGCTGTCTTCGCTTATATTTCTCTCTTTACTTTATTTTATTTATATTTAAAAAAAAAAAATAAAATAAAGGGAATATTGGTTTAGTTAGTTGCGCTGTGTTCAGCTAAGAGCACGTCCCTCCCTCACTGCTGTATTTTTAGGGTTTAGGGTTTAGGGTTTAGGGTTTAGGGTTTGTCTACGTAGCATAGTATTTAACAATTGTCTATAGTTTTAGTGCATGCATCGAGTGGGGCTTAGCCGCAGCTGCAGCTGCAGCTGCAGAGCTGCAACACCCCTCTCTCTGCTTGGTGCTGTCTCTCTCGTATGTTTTTTCTGTCTCCTTTCTCTCTTCTTTCTGTCTCCTTTCTCTCCTCTTTTTTATATGTATTATAGATCTAAGAAAGACTGTAGCAGCACTGCAGCAGCAGCAGCAGCACTGCAGCAGCAGCAGCAGCACTGCAGCAGCAGCAGCAGCACTGCAGCAGCAGCAGCAGCACTGCTGCGGGATAAAGAGAAGCAACGGCCTCAACAAGATACAGCTGAAACAGCCCCAAAAGCATGCATGCGTCCGTGCATGCGTTTGCTGCTGCACCGCAGCGCATACATCAGCACTAGCAGCAGCCGCCAGCAGCAGCAGGAGGTATATCCCCTAAACCCTAAACCCTAAACCCTAAGCATCGACAGCAAGCAAAAGAAGAGAAAGAACAACAGGACGGAGCGCGTGAAGAACTGAGGGTTTAGGGTTTAGGAACTGAGGGTTTAGGGTTTAGCGTCTAGGAACTGAGGGTTTAGGGTTTAGGAGGGTTTAGGGTTTAGGGTTTAGGGTTTAGATACAAAACTCGGTGTAGAGGCCAAGACTCAGAGAAGAAAACAGAAATTTTCTGTTTCATACAAAAGCGCCCACGGCGAGCCTGGGGCCATCATCATACAGCTAGCTAGCGAAGGACGAGTTACACAGGGGAAAGGCCCTGGCTAGCTGCTGGCTAGCTCTTGGCTAGCTGCTGGCTAGCTCTTGGCTAGCTGCTGGCTAGCTGTTGGCTAGCTGTTGGCTAGCTGATGGCTAGCTGTTGGATAGCGGCTGGCTAGCTGCTGGCTAGCTGTTGGCTAGCTATTGGCTAGCTGCTGGCTAGCTGTTGGCTAGCTATTGGCTAGCTGTTGGCTAGCAACGGGCTAGCTGTTGGCCAGCTGCCGGGTAGCTGCTGGCCAGCTGCTGGGGAGCTGCTCACTAGCTCCAGCCTACCCGCTAGCTAGCTGTTGGCTAGCTACGGGCTAGCCGCTAGCTAGCTGTTAGCTAGCTACGGGCTGGCCGTGAGCTAGCTGTTGGCTAGCTACGGGCTAGCTGCGAGCTAGCTGGTGGCTAGCTGTTGGCTAGCCGCGAGCTAGCCGTTGGCTCGCTACCGGCCAGCCGCGAGCCAGCTGTTGGCTAGCTGTTGGCTAGCCGCGAGCTAGCTGTTGGCTAGCTACGGGTTAGCCGCTAGCTAGCTGTTGGCTAGCTACGGGCTAGCCGTGAGCCAGCCGCTGGCTAGCTGCGGGTTAGCCGTGAGCTAGCCGTTGGCTAGCTACGGGCTAGCCGTGAGCCAGCCGTTGGCTAGCTACGGGCTAGCTGCGAGCCAGCTGTTGGCTAGCTACGGGCTAGCCGTGAGCTAGCTGTTCGCTAGCTGTTGGCTAGCCGTGAGCTAGCCGTTGGCCAGCTACGGGCTAGTTGCGAGCTAGCTGTTGGCTAGCTACGGGCTAGCCGTGAGCTAGCTGCTAGCTAGCTACGGGATAGCCGTGAGCTAGCTGCTAGCTAGCTACGGGATAGCCGCTAGCGAGCGGTTGGCCAGCTGCGGGCTAGCCGCTAGCTAGCTGTTGGCTAGCTACGGAGTAGCCGCTAGCGAGCTGCTGGCTAGCTGTTGGCTAGCCGCTAGCTAGCTGTTGGCTAGCTACGGGCCAGCCGCGAGCTAGCTGTTGGCTAGCTNAGCTGTTGGCTAGCCGCTAGCTAGCTGTTGGCTAGCTACGGGCCAGCCGCGAGCTAGCTGTTGGCTAGCTGTTGGCTAGCTACGGGCTAGCCGCGAGCTAGCTGTTGGCTAGCTACGGTGCAAGCCGGATCCATTGGTGCTGGGAGGCCACAGCAGAGCCTGCTGGCCTCTTCGCAGCGAACGGGCTGCACCTATAAACGGTCTGCTGCTGCTGCTGCTGCTGCTGCTGCTGCTGCTGCTGCTGGTGTTATCGCTGCTGCTGCTGCTGTTGAGGGGCTGTTCAGAGAGGCCTGAAGGAAGCAGCAGCGACGACAAAAAGCACTTGCTCCCTCAGTTCATCAGCAGCAACAGCAGCAGCAGCAAGAGCAGCAGCAGCAGCAGCAAGAGCAGCAGCAGCAGCAGCAAGAGCAGCAGCAGCAGCAGCAGCAGCAACAGGAGAGGTTGGAAGCTCACCCCTTACAACGCGGGCAGCGCCACTGCTGTTGGTCCTGCAGCAGACAAATTAACAAACAGCAGCAGCAACTAAGCCATAAGCACTAGCAGCAGCAGCAGCAGGAACAGCAGCAGCAGCAGCAGCAGCAGCAGGAGGAACCGCAGCAGCAACAGCAACAGCAACAGCAGCAGCAGCAGCAACAGCAGCAGCAAACGTACGGCGGCGCCAGCGATGCAGCGATTGCAGCACAAAGCCCCACAGCCTAGGCGGCCTGCAGACGCAAGCAGCAACCAAAAAGCTACATAGTGCTGCTGCTGCTGCTGCTATTGCTGCTGCTGCTGCTGCAGTTGCTGCTGCTGCTGCTGCTTCAGGTCAGGGAGAAGCATGAGAGCCAACAGAGACAGCACAAAGAAAACAAAAAAAAAAAAAAAAAAAAAAAAAAAAAAAAAAAAAAAAAAAAAAAAAAA